ACCCATTACGATGGGGGGTTTTAAGAGAAGAGAGAAGAAGAGAGAAACGGGGGACCTAGAGAGCTAGGACATGGGATAACCGGACGGCCTCTTTCGGCGTGATGAGCATAGGAGTTAGGAGCTGAGCATGACAGCAAACGGCGGCGGGTACGAGTTCCTTTCTTGTGTGATAGGAACTCGGCAGAGGAGGAGCCGAGTACAGTGGCAGCGACGCTCATGGCGAGAACAATGGCAGTGGCTGCGAGCTCCCCTCCTGCGTGACAGGCAGAGGAGGAGCCGTGCACGGTGGCAGCAGAGTGTCTCCTCTTCTCGCAGGGTGACTGGCAGGTATTCTGGTGGTGGAAGTCTCGGAACTGGAATGCGACTTCGCAGAAACCGATCGACCGTATATCCCGTGTCATAGAGGAGCGGAGGTCCTTAGGCCCAACGGAATTGTTGGATGGGAGATGAATAAAATGAGTGTCCTTTTCCGGGGTCACCTTGACGAAGATGACAGTAAAGCCGACGAGGGAGAGCCCACAGTTCCGTTGCCTCCTTCTCGATCCTAAGCTCGATATACCTTTGGCATTGACGGACGCACAAGAGAAAGCACGCTGGATCGCCACCCGAGAAAGATGAGTCAACGGCCTAACCGGGCCCCATTATCGAGAATTCCGTAGCCCACGGAAAAATGGCGTAGGTGATTGTCGTCACGATGCCAGTTAGATCATGGAAACTGATAAATAGTGTCTTCGGAAAAATGTCTACGTCACTGGTCATTGTGTGACGCTGATGCGCAACCCCCCCGTTCTGGTTCGAGACATCTAGGCATCGGCCAAAGTCAAGATGTGTCCTCATCAAGGAGGGAGAGAGAGAGAGAGAGAGAGAGAGAGAGAGAGAGAGAGAGAGAGATAGAGAGAGGACCTCGTCAAACTTTGCTTGAGGTTCGATGTCCTCGCCAGCCCACGAGCTCGGATCACCGGTCTCGAGCCGAAACGTTGCCTTTGATCCATGATTCAGCCAAAAAGTGCCAACCAATTGACGTTGAATTTCAGGTATATTTCTGGAGCAGAGAATCCGGCTATTCGGCTCGGCCTGGCTGACTTGATCTCCCCTTTTCACATGGCTCGGCATACACGAGTCAACCCGAACATGTATGCGGTCCCTACCGACTGAGACGTAACGGGTGGCATGGTTCAAATTTCAGTTTTACTCAATCCTTCTCTTTCCGTGGGCTCAGGGTGCAGCATTAAAGATTTAAAGCCCTGTTCCACAGTCTCTCCCAGTTTCTGTCCTATCCTGTCCCAACCTGCGTTCTAAGATTCGTGGGCAATACATTTCGTATGACCACGTAAGAGGGTAGTTCGAATTGTTTCAGAAAGCTCCATGAGCCCAAACCATGAATCTCTTGGTCAAATCTAAAGGTTTTAAATAAATCTAAAGATTATAATTTGACGTGACTTCAACCTAGCCTCATGCATCTGTGCGTGAGCGCGTGAGATAGAGATAGATAGAGAGAGAGGGGAGAAAGAGAGGAGAGAGAGCAGAGAGAGCGCAGAGAGAGAGAGAGAGAGAGAGAGAGAGAGAGGGAGGGAGGGGGAGGGAGAGGGAGAGGGAGAGGGAGTGGGAGAGAGGGAGAGAGAGAGGAGAGAGAGAGAGAGACAAGGACAATCAAGAAATGAAAATTTGCCATTGGAAGAAGGGAGAGAGAGTATCGGTAGTGTTAGGAAGAAGGGGAGACACGAAAGTTATGTAGGTAACCTTATTACTTTATAGTAGGGGTATTGACTTACTTGGTCCACTCTTTTGCGAGGTTCCAGGAAGGCTCCTTTCCGGGGCCACGTCTACCTATATGTTTAGCTTATGGTCTCTTGCCGGGGTCTGCAGTCTCAGAATGGTCCCGACACTACTCGGGTACCCGCCAAGACACGACGCGTTCGCATTAAGTGCAAAAATGAGAACTTCGTCAAACTGAAAGGGACTTGACGCGGATCAAGTGGTTGGGAACTTCCGATTCGCCAGTTATCTCTCTCTCTCTCTCCCTCTCTCTCTCCATACATGTGCATATATATGAATGCTAGCATGCACGTATATGTCATAAGAGCCAGGCACGCGACCCGTTTACTAAACACCTCTAAATATAGATTGAGTATTTAGAGAAAACGTACAGACGGGGGTTCCATCTGGATAATGATCTAAGTAGACAAGTATTATTACCGACAAAATAAACTTTGGACTACTTATAATACCGAAATACTGCTTTTTTCTCTAGAAAGGCACATCTTTCAGTAAACGTTGTAGCCGCCATTTCCCACTGTCGACCACTGATAGTCGCCCATTACGAACCATAACAACTAAAATGTTGGAAAAACTTATACCATTAGGACCTCAGAAAGTATTTCTACAATTAAGTTCTGTCGAAGAGGCTCGAGCTCGATGCCGGAGGCGCCGCCAGCTGAGAGAGAGTCATTGCTCTCGAGAGGAGGAGAGGGAGAGAGAGAGAGAGAGAGAGAGAGAGAGCAAAGGGGCAAAATGAAAAGTTATTATTAAAGGAGAAACCAGATACAGGTGTTTACAGAGTTCTAGCGAAGTGGATCGCATCCGGTTAAACACGAGTTTAAGTGCCGAACCATATCCGATACTCAGCGGAAGAGAGAAGGATGGAAATGTAATACAATGAGGGAAATAAACACACTTAAGAAGTTCTCTGGTAATAATGTAATATCCCATACTCCGGCCAGTTTTACTCTTTCCTCCAAAGGGCAACCTTTTACTTCCTTTTAATGGGTAACTCTTCTAAGTCGGGAAATTCCTCCTCTATGGGCCCTGCTGTCGGCAAATGTAGCACCGTTAACATGAACTTGGAATACTTCAAAGATTTTCTGAGTCCCCACCTTGACTTCTCGCCATCAGCGGTCCATCTCAAACCATATCAAATAATTTTAATTTGGCAAATCCCGTCTCCTTGGAATCGGTCCTGATCCCGACTGGGCAAATTAATGGAAGTTTTAATTTTGATTCTTATTAAATGTTCAAATCATTGGTGTGAGACTTTGGAACAGACCTGGGCCAGATGTCAAGAAGACTACAATTTTAGCTCTATTGATTGACCAAATAAACAACTCATTATTCAGTCCCTAGAACCCGGCAAATGAGTCCGAGATCAGACTCAGCTCGAGTCGATCCGAATGGCAAACATAGTAGCATCCAAAAACCAGTACGAAACGTACGTACTGTATTAAGAATCCCCAATTTGGCCCCGTACCTCACACTTATTTGCTCCTATCGTTGCTCACACCCTAGTCAGTGGCACTGTATACGCTCGTACCTTCGCCTCCGCTTTCTATCGGACACATGCTGCTGCACGAGTGTCCTTACCGTCTTATACAGAGAAAGACAGCAGACAGGGGACAGAGAAGGAGGGAGGGATGAAGATGGTAAAGGGAAGAGGGTGGAGTGGATGAACCTTTCTAAAGGGGGAAAGACGAGACAGGAATATAATAAATTAGAACTCTATAACTTAGGCTGAAGGGGAGAGCATTCCGGCTCGTGCCCTCAGGACGAGAGGGAAAGGGAGAGCCGAGTAAAACAGGGCAGAAGCAAGGCTGAACCCGTTCGATCTAGGCCTTGACCAAGGCTAAACATGTTCGATCTTTTCTCAGATACTTTGATCCGTCGACATCTCTGATGGCCCTTTGCTTCGCCAGTGATTAGTTATGGCTTTTAATAAGGTCAACTGTGTTAGTTTCTTAGTTTCTAAAAGATAAACATGCTGATGCCCACTACTCTTGTGCAATCACCGTTCATAGTAGGTATCATCATGCGTAAGTAAAGACTGAAAAAAAAAATCAATAGTTACGAACGGGCCAGGGCAGACTTTTATGGGTTAATTTTATATTTGATGCTTGAATAACGTAATCTTAGTCTGGACCGATTGTTGATACAGATAATAAACATCCTACTTGTGCCATGCAGATGAGATCAATGATGCTGAAAATAGGTCTTCTAGACAGCCAAGAAAGTCAAGGGTAGAACTTGTAAATGTCGGCAAATCGTAGCATCGTCAAGACAGTGCGTCTTGTTTTCACAAATCGTGGTCTTTATTTTCCTGGCAGGTATAGCTCATGCAGCTCTTCGTATTTAAATATATATATAAAAAAGGTGATTTTAAGAGTAATATGTTGTCTCATTTACAGCCAAAACGACGATACACACGATGTTCTCTCGAAAATAAATTAATCTTTTAAGATTATCAAAGGCGTATATCATATCTATATATGAATGAGAATCCTACACGGCGGTAACCTGTTCATTTACATGTAAAATATAAAGGGCAATTGGAAACCTGATTCGATTTTAAAATACGTAAATTTGCATTTTCATCACTTCATTTGGGAAATATGGTCCCCTGGGGCTGTAGATTACTGTAATTCGCCGACGATAAAATTGTTGTATTGAATATTCTAAATAAAGGCATAAATAAGTGAGTTAGAAGATGGAGGGTGCATTCTTTAGTAGTTGAGTCAGCCCAGAGCCCGACTTAATACTTTTTCTCGTCTAACATGGCGAAAGAAAGTCTGACGACGAAAAGGTGTGCGTACGGGGATCGGGACATGACATAATTTTAAAACATGCCCAATATTATAAAAGACAAGATGGAAAATTAAGGCCATTGATGGATCAGGTTTAATACAGAATTAGAGAGAATCCGCGAATGATGTTTATGAGGATACAGAGTAGTCTGAGTCGGGTGTGCTGTCATCGAGGTTGGAGCAAATAAAAAACTATATATTGTCTATAATTGATATTACATTTTTACGGTTTTCATTTAATGGTTGCCTCACTCAAACTGAACAAACAGCATACATGCTCCTGTCATCAATACCCTCATTAATCTGAAAGCATCCATTTAATTAATATCGGAAGAAAAATACATATTTCTGCTTATGGTTCCTAAGAACCTTGTGTATATAGAATTCGTTATGGAAAAGATCATACTTGGGTTTATATTGACTGCACTCCTACATAATTATGCAGTTGGGCTCCTGGTAGTAGCCTTGTTCGTTCACGTAGTAGACGCAAGGTAATGGCTCAGGCGTAGGATCCTCAACCTTTCCCTTGTCCTTGTCCTTGTCCTCGTCCTCGACGGCGGCGACACTGACGAGGATCGCCATGCCCATGGCCTTCCTCAGCCGCTTCACGAGTGCGACGGAGTCGACCCCGTCCCCGATAACGATGATCTGGTCCTTGTCCTCCCCTTCAGTTGCCACCGACTCAACGGCTACAAGACAGGAAAATTTGATCTTGTTATGGGTCGTCGACGAACACCAAGTCCCGTTAAACTCGGAATCCTCAGCGTAGAAATGGAAGAAGGAACAGAAGAAGGAACAGAAGAAGGAACAGAAGAAGGGAGCGTGCGGGGGCCAGATACCTGGAAGACCGACGGCTATTTTCATTGCTTTGCTGCGGGTCTTAAGGTCCATCATCTGAAGCTTGATCACGATCTTCTGCTGCAAGAAACAGAGGATAGACGAGAGGATATCCTGTCAGATCTACAGCAGAGGAGTCAGGAACTTCATATGATTAGCTCACCTTCATTTTTGTTTGAACGACTGAGGGAAACAATGAACACGAAGGCGCTAGAGAACCTGCAGCGAAGAAGCCCTCGTTTTATAAACCAGAGAGAAGACTGTTTCTGCGAATGACATCATCGAACTCCGTTAATGGAACCGGAGTAGAGATGACGTAATCGATTATCAATTCTTCTCACCGTGACGCTCCACTGTTGACCAAGACGATGGGCGAGGGTGCTTCTTTGCTACCGGGGGGGAGGGGGCTCTGACCAAATCCCATGTTTTGATAAAGCTCGAGTCTCCTCGTAGCATGATGCTGCTAGGTAGCAGTCATTCACCCACTTGCGATTGTTTACTCTTTTCTCGACACGACCTTACTTCCGTTGTTAGGTTCATCAGGTACGAGTCTTGTCGTCTCGGTTAGGCGCGGGTGGGGATAAATGGGATGTATTGCTTAGTGCACGATTCCCAGACAGACTCTCATTACTTTCGAACACGTTGTAATATTTCCGTTGTATGCCTCATGAAGACCTTGCTACATTAATTCTTCACATTTCTCTGCATAGTGATTTAATGTACACTTCGTCAGGAGAAAAGTTGATTTTCCTTCTGGTCTGTTCAAATCAATGAATCAAATGACTTGCCCACTACGTCCTGGTTCTGCACTCCACACTATTCTGCCTTTATGTCTTGGACTGATCGCCTATTTTAGAATCGGCTGTGAGCCCTTAATCTAGATCTCTGTACATACGAGGATCTCGTATTTACAAATCCTTGTATGTACAAATATATAAATGGCTGCATAGATGATGACCGAATAATGTGGGGGATGGAGCAAGAAAGGAATTCAAATGAACATGTTCATGTTTGTGAACGTCCTTTTGCCGGATGACGTGACTTAGTCGTTGTATATTAAATCACGCAAATATAAAATTTATAAAACTCGAAAATACGAATTTTTGGATATTTAGAAGTATTTCTAAATAAATATATCAATTATAATTCAATAGAACTTTCAAAAATAGCGGTAATTTCCAAGGTCGATCACAGGGATGTAATATAATATTTTGTAATTATTTAGATTTTTTCTCAATTAATACGATTTTCTATGAATTTTATACTAGGAAATGAAAAGGAAATATATTTAAAATTCACAAGAAAAAGGAAATAAAGGTGCGGACGTCAGGATGACGTTAGCGCCAGGCGAACACGAATCGGGCAGAAATAGAGTTCCGCCCGGCGATTCTTACGTAAGCGATTACAGACGATTTAATTAATCAAATTAAGATCTGTAAAAGCCAGAAGAATCGTAATTGAAAAAAGTATATTTTAGTAAATTAAAATCACAAAAATTATCACTAAATGAAGCGTAAATTAAGTTTCAAAGCAGGAAAACAGAGTTCCGACGTTGCGACGGCGATGCGTCGGCGATGCACCGGAATCCTGAGCGTTCGGGAGGATCGTCGTGTAGTGTCCACGGCCTCGAAGGCTCTCCTTGGGCAAAGACAACGTGGGCAATCTCTAGATCTTCTCGCGAAGTCTAGAAATTAATGAAATGGGTCGCCGAGTCGTCTCTGGCGGCTGTCACCCGGCGGAGCGGAAAAATGACGACTTTGCGGCTCTCCGGCGGCTGTCACCCGACGGAGAGGAGTTGGATGGAGGTGGGGGCGCGTGTCAAGGAGCTTCATCCTCAGGTCCGCGCAGCAAGAGGAGGCTCTTCATCGCATCTGGTACGCTCTTAGGAGGTAGCGACTCGTCTCCCGGCGGATCGTCCTCTTCCCGACGACGGCTTGTTCGTCGATCAATCGGAGATGATTTACTCGATGGATTCGCGATCCTTTTATCGCGAATCGTTCAGCAATTTTAGTAGCAATGCTCCGCGAATCGCGTTGATGAGATTTTCGCCGATGATCCAGCGATTCTGGTTGCTTAATCTTTCATCGGCGATCTGCAGGAAAGTCGTGATAATCAGATAAAAATATATGAATTTTGACTCTAGGAGGATTTGAACCCGCGCCGGTTGTCCGCCCCTTCTGAGGAAGGTGTGACGCGGGTTTAGCCCCACATCGGTTGTGCGCCGATTTCTCAGGCGAATATATAGTAATGTTAGCTTTCTAAGCAAAGTCCCTTCTCTCGCGTGTACGACCACTCCTTGCCCCACAGCCGGCTGGCCACCGGTGACGTGGAAGGGGAGTGGCGCACACGTGCCCCTATCAGTCCAAGCCGCTCGAGCCCCTACTTGCGGCTACTCCCCGATTGAGCTTCTGACCCGCTTGCGGGCTCGGCTGGCCGGCGGGTCCCCCCTTATGCAATATTTTAGTTTTATTTCTTTTTCTTCATTTATCTCAAAAGTAAGACTGTAAAAATCATATAAATTCGTATAAAATCACATAATTACCCAAAAAATCACATTAATCAATTGAAAACCACTTTCCACACTTTAACACAAATATAAGTCTATTTATCACGAGTTAAGGCTAAAACTATATTATTTACTAATTATTAACTCATGATAATGAAGACTTATCACCGGACATCACCATTGTGTGCATCATTTTCTGTCCTATCTTGGAAGGTGTTTGATATAATGGATAAGAACACTACTACATTCAGGTGTTTTTATCGAGTTGATGAGACCTCATACTTATGCTCTAGTTTGGCACTTGTCAGTCTCACTGGGACCTATCTTTCGTTATATACCCAATATACACATTGCCTTAGTAAAATCTCTTAATTATAGTGACAGAGGTTGCCTCCGATTTATAATATGGGGTTAGGGAGACTACGTATGGACAAAACATATAATTGTCCTTAGTTCAAATTATTTATAGGCACAGCTCCTCCTAGACCTCCTGCTAACAAACTGCGGACTCAAATCTACACATCCTCTATAAATCTGAAATGTTCATTCATATATCCTAACAATCTTTAATTCGAAAATTGATCATTCTCCAACGCTGCAATGCGAGTCTTCTCACGCATGTTGCATTGGTAAATTGCACTGCATTGTGAGCCTCTGCACCATGTCACCTGATCATTTGCATTGCAGCTCCCACTTAACATGTACCTCAGCAAGTAGATTCGTCACCTCGTTGTTTTATGCCAGTGAACTTGTTTTGCGTCACACGTAAACCTTCTCGCGTGCATCACCCAAATGCTAATACATGACACCACTCTTTGCCCCACAGCCGGCTGGCCACCGGTGACGTGGAAGGGGAGTGGCGTGGCGCACACGTGCCCCTATCAGTCCTAGCTGCTCGAGCCCCTACTCACAGCTCCTCCACGACTACACTTTCAACTTGCTTGTGGGCCCGGCTGGCTAGCGGGTCCTCCCATTTTGCTTTATTTTTATTTTTATTTATTTTTCTTCATTTATCTCAAAAGTAAGACTATAAAAATCATATAATAATTTTTTGGGGAGTGGCCCCGAAAAATTTACGTTAACCATGTTAAAACCACTTTTCACACTTTAACATAAATATAAGTCTATTTACCATGAGTTAAGGCTAAAGCAATATTATTTACTAATTATTAACTTATGATAATGAAGACTTATTAGTAATTACATCATTTTTGTTGATGACTACATTCGTGTGAGTTGAGTCTACCTCCTCCACGACTGCTCTGAGGTCATCCCCATAGTTACCCACTTTATTACCGAAGTTATCACCCAATGTATAACTACGCCCAAGATTCTTCGTACTAATAATGCTCTTGAGTTTGTCCAAGTATCTATTCGCATCTTCTGTCATGATCGTGACATCCTCCACTAGACCACTTGTCCAACATCACCAACTCCTTGACATCACTTGCACATTTCTTCTTAAGATGAATGTCCCCAACTATCTCTAGGCTGATGCGCTTCTGACTATCACTTACCTTCAGAATTGACTTTCTTCCACTCCTTGTGAGAGGGAGTCATTCCTCTCCATCACTTAATCCTTAATTCTCCTCTTTTTTCTCTTCTCTCTCGAGTCTTTAGATGCACCGCCTTTGTCTAGAATTCCTCTCCTTCTTTTTCTAAACTCATCCCTCATACTCTTAAAAGGGTCTTTATCGACTACTCTCACACGCAAAAGGGCTATTCGGTTTACTTCCCTAATACCTATTGTTATGTGACATCAGCCAACATCACTTTTCATGAGTCTCCTTTCTTCTCCCCTATTTTGACTCCTCCTCCTCCTCAAGTTGCTATGTCTCCTCCACTTAGGTTTTCTCTCTTGGTGGTTCTTCAAACCCTCCCTCCTTTCTTCCCTCCTTTCCACTCTCTTTAGAGTCATTACCCGCACCCACCTCTCTTTGGCCCATGTCTCCCATAGCTCCTTCTACTTTGGATGTAGTATCCTCCTCTTCCTCTCCTACAATCCCCTCCGCGCTTCAGTCATTGCTCCACCTGATGACTTTCATCTCCCTATTACCCTCCGCAGAGGTACACACACCTGCACCCACCATTCCATCTCCCAATTTGTCTCTTATGACCGCCTCTCTCCCTCCTTTTGTGCCTTTGCCCTCTCTCTAGCCTCCAAGTTGCTTCCATGATTCTATGTTGAGGCTACATAGATACTTACGTGGAAGGTGACCATAGATTTAAAAGTAGCTGCATTGGTCGCTTAAGGGACTTAGGATTTGGTTCTACACTCGACCGATGCCAACATTGTGACGTGCAAGTAGGTGTTTACCATCAAGTATCACCCGAATGGCTCCATCACTCATCGCAAAACTCATCTGATTGTTCAGGGCTTCATGCAAGCATATGGGATTGACTACACTAAGATGTTCTCTCTTGTCGTCCACTTCAACTCCGTCTATATGCTCCTCTCTCTTGCCGTCAATCAAGCATAGTCTCTCCATCAATTAGATGTTTCTAATGCCTTTCTCTATAGTGATCTCACAGAGCAAGTTTTTATGGAGCAACCTCTTGGGTATGTTACTCAAAAAGGGTCATCGAAAGTATATCTCTTGCGGCATGTCATTTATGGGCTCAAGCAAAGTTCACATGCTTGGTTCATCAAATTTAGTAGCTTT